TTGTTTATTTATTTATTCATTCATTAACATATAGTGATAATGAAAGGTGAGTTTGGTTTGATGGCTATTTAAAACATATTCTAATTGTTAGAGAAGATATCTCATATCCCACATTGAATTTTTAAACTAATCTCATCTATTTAGCTTTATATAATATTAGAGCCTTAAAGAGGGTCCGAGTAAATATTCGATGCTGAAGTCACTTGCGGATCCTAAAAAATGGACTGGAAGTGAAGAAAAGTATTATAGAATATATTCCACATTGAATAATTAAACCAAATATGATTAATATATAAAGATGTGAAGGAACCACCCATCATAAGGCTTAAGTCTTTTGGATAGAACTATATCTCAACTATCTAACTCTATATAGTATCAAAGCTTTAAAAAGATCCAATGGTCCAACAAATAATTTTGAATCCAAGCCATTTGACAAATCCCAAAAGTCTGGATCGCAAAGGATGAGGAATGTTAGAATACATATCCCGCATTGAATAATTAAATAAAAAATGAGTGACATATGGAAACCAATCTCAATTATTTAACTCTATACTAATTAACTAACTTTAGGGAATAGTTACTTACTTTAATTTGACATCATCCCATATAATTTGATATTAAATCCACTAATATTTCTAATGATAATTACAAGATAAATAACTTAATATGCTTTGAGTCTTTTAAGTTTCTAATTGCATAGCATCTATTTTTAAAATATTTAATCTATTTTTTTATTCAATTTTTTCAACTATGGACAAACATTTTGATCAAAATGTCTTTTATTGAAATAGAAAAAGAAAAAACTTGAAGTCACATTTTTGAAATCTTTAATTATTATTATTATTATTATTATTTGTAATTTAGTCGAGGCATTTTGGTCAAAAAGAATTTTTTATGATAAAAAAAATTGATCGGAAAGACAATTCAAAAATTTTCAAAAACGAGATGGAATGTAATTAAAATTTTAGGAACATATAGGAGACTCAAGATATTATATAAGAACAAATTGAGCTATTTACTCGATAATTTTTATATTTGTTTGTCTATGTTGTAAGTAAAAACTCATTTAATCTCAAGATTAGATCTTGCTAAGAAATTTTATATTACTCTAAGAGTAACTATCAATATTACTTCATAATAGAAATAGACACAAAGAAAAGAGATAAATATAAGAGGAAAAATTTAAAAAAATTAAGTTTATGTGAAAAATATTCTTATCATTTTTTATGCATTTGGATGTGATTTTTTTTTTTTTTTATCTATCTCTGTCCTCAAAAGTATGTATTTTAAAATATCTCTCTTTCATCTATAGTTTATCTTTTGGTGGGTCATTTATGTTAATTTCAAGTGGGAGAGTGAATGACCTAACAAGACAAACATGTTAGCATTACAAGATCCATTTTCTAACTATTTTATCTATGTCTCTCTCAATCTTTTGGCCAAATGCATCTCACATTATTATTCAAAATTAAAACATGGGCATCAACTTTTTAAAATAAGTTCATTGTTATATGTCTTGAGTTTGCCATAGGTGAGTTTGTTTATTTATTTATTCATTCATGAAAGGGGGTTTGGTTTGATTGGCTATAAAACAGATTCTAATTAATTAAGTGAATAATTAGTTACTTTAATTTGGCATCATTCCAAATAATTTAAAATTAAATTCAACTAATATTTCTAATGATGGTTACGGGATAAATAGCTTAATATGCTTTAAGTCTTTCATCTATTTTTAGGTTTTTAATTGTATCTTATTTTTTTTAAAAAATGCTCAATCTATAATTCTGATCAATTTTTTTAATTATGGATAAAAATTTTTTAACCAAAATGCTCTTTATCGAAATGAAAAAAAAAAAAAAACTTAAGGTCACATGGCTATGTTACGTTTTTTAAATCCTCTCATATATATATATATATGAATTGTTCTCTATTGAATATTAAATAAACCTAAATCTATATTTTTATTGTAAAAAAAAAAATTACCCAACAAATCTCTCAAAGATAGAGGGTATTAAGTATTAACTGCTCTTTACAAGATTCATAAAATTATCAGGACCAAGGCCACGGATCTAGCTTGATGAAGAAAAAAGCTGGAGGGTGGGGATTGTAAAGGAGCCTAACGCTCACATGTAAAGTAAGTGATGACTTAAGGCATCCCTGTCTATGTATAACTAGAGTAGGTCATCTAGTCCATATAATTACCTAGCTAGCTAGCTGTTTTGGTTGGCTACCTAATGACCCATCATCTAAATTGAGGACAGTACTTCTTCTGGGTTTCCTGAATGGATTGCTAGTTCGAAATGATTGTAAGTTTGGAATCACATAAACAAATTTGCTTTGGTATGTACAGTTTTTAATTAAAATGATTGGGTAATCCTTCCTAAATTCTAAATTCAAATCCAATAAGACAAATATATGAGCAAGCTCGGCAGCTAAGTAAAAGAGATTTCTCTTAAATATATTGGATGTGAATTACATGGTTAAAATTAGAATTAAAAAACGGACGTAACTATATCGAAAATTTTTTGTATATACAAAAACTTAAATTCGAGATCAATTACTTAAGAAATCAAAACCTCTTTCGTTCAAACCAACCCACATATAATTTAATCCTAAAATACTTTGACAATTATTAAAAAAATATATAATAATATTTATACTATCAATCAAAAATATGATTTTAATTTGCAAATATATACTTACATATCTTATATATTGATTTAATTCGGAGATTGCACCTCTAGTTAAGTGCTTATTCAAGTTAATTAGCATTCAACAGAGTTAATTATAATAACTAATTCATTATTTCGATATTTCGATAGGTATAATCACATAGGTATATAATATTTTTTATCGAACATATAGTCAACTTATTTAAACATCCATTTTTAACACTTAAAAAAAAAAGAATATATACAACCAGAAAAAAAAAAAAACTAAAGCCAATCAATTGTTTTGTCTCTCAATGCTCTGAACCAGGCGAACAGAGAACACCCCACCTTCATTTTTCACCAATTCACTCATGTTATTGTCTTATAAGAACATGAAGTGATTGATGTGTTATGACTTCATCTCTTCACAATAATTTGGCTACCTTATGCTGCAATGAATTTTCAAAGTACCATGTAGACATATAATCAATGATTTTATATCCCTCAATCATCTGAAAATCCATTATATTTATGGTACCTCTTCTTTTCATGTAATTTTTTTTTTCAAATTTGACAGACAATCCCTAATTTTTTTTCACCATAACTAGCTAGGTTGATTTCAACATGTGTACGGGGGTTATGATTTTTTATTTTTTTTACTTTTACTTTTAAAATACCCAGACGTAATTATTAAAACTAATTCGTTACTATTACGTTAGATATAAAAAATCGATATAGCTATTTAAGAAATTATAATTATATATATATATATATATATATATATATATATATATATATGAATTCGAAATTACTTATTTAAATGGGTAGAATTCTTTTCATTGAAATATGATCATTCTAAGTAGTTGAAGTATAGTCATTCAAGTAAATCTTCTTGGATGGGGCTTCGAATCTTTTGATTTTTTCTCCTTGGCATCAAGCATGGCGTGGCATAGATTTGGGGACATACAGGTGGTGGGCCTTAACCTACTGCATGCGGCCCTGCAATAGAAACTGTTATAACTTTTGCAACCTCTGAGAGTCCCCCTTAATATCCTTCTCTATCCTGTAGGCCAAAGCAGCTGGGTGGTCCGTACGAATTAATTGAAAGGAAAAGCAAAGTCAAAACCCTAACAACCCCATCTACTTACTTTGATAAATACCTTCTTCACTCCTTATATTCTCTTCCCTCTCCACTTTCCTTCCTTTCCTTGCAAGCAGAAAAGGTTAGATATGATTTTTTACAACATGCCTGACTTAGTAACATTTTGTCCAATAATACTCATAATTACAAATAAAGAATAGACGTCAAGTCTATGGTTAGTTTTTGTATATATGGAAATTCAATCTATTTCTTTTGTCGGATGAAAAAACAAATCATGTTAAATTTAGAAGATTCATGGAAATTTTACTTTCTACAATCTGGCATGCGTTTGAACAACGACGGTACTGATGAGATTAGCATTAATTCAATAGGATTAGATTGATAAGAAAAGTCCTGTAAGGAAACAATAAAGTAAGCAGCAAACTTAATTTTATATTCCTAGTTGGGGTTAAAACAATTACAATTAGAAGCTCATGCTCTCCAAAACAGCTGGCTTTTTTAGGATCTTATGGAAAGAAAATAAGAAAATAATGTATACCACCCAGGATGATGACAATGACAAGCTCACATGAGCCCAACCAGATAATACATGAGGTCCCTACATATAAACACACCCCTCCATTTCTTTCTCTTTCTCTTTCTCTCTCAAGAAATTAAGTTAGAAATTATTCTGAGAGGAAGAAGGAAAAATTGCCTAACTTGAGAAGCTTCAAGGGAAATACCCTTGTGAGAAAAACCACACACGCATATGCCTACCCTGGTTTCACTCTTACTTTCTAAATCCCATCAATCTATCTATCTGATTTGTTTCACATTCCAAGGTCAACCAACAACTAGAGGGACTTGCACTCTTTGAAACGTCTGTGAGGGTGTTTGTTGTCTAGTTTTGATTATCTTGAAGTCTTCTAACTATGGTCAAAGACTATAGCACCGACTGTCATTGAAATGAGAGTTAATACCTAGCTATCTGCCTTTTTTCTGGGTCTGAGAGATTATGGAAGAAGAATAATCTTTAAACCTAAAAAAAAAAGTGATAGACTTTTTAGTACTTGTTTGTTTTGATCCACCAATTTGCCTTCAACACAACCTCCACTTCTTCTTTTCTTGTTTTCTTTAGTGAAGAAGTACTGCTAGTTTGCTATTGCTACCTCCTTTGATTTTTCCTTCTTCTAGCTAGCTAGCTAGTTTCAGATCCTTCCAAAGGAAAAGACAAGATTTTTTTTTTTTTTTTAATTACTAGCAAAGACATGGAATTCGGGGCAGGTTTTAGTGAAGAAGATCAAATGAGCAAAGGAAAAGGACTCCCTTTTTCTTCATACTCATCTTCTAATTCATCTCCTTCATCTTCCTCTTCACAGCCAAAAAGCCAACTTGGAGTCCCTTTAGGCCAAATCTATGAAAACCACCAAATGGGTTCTTGGTTAGGCAACAAGTATGACCAAGAAGATCAAGATACATCAAGATTTAATGAGAGTGGAGCTGTCACTGCCGCAAAACTTGACCTCATGGATGTCAATGATGAAGAAGAAGGCGGCCGAGGAGAATTTAGTAGTGTGCAGGTGACAGAAAAGGAGCACATGTTTGATAAGGTTGTAACTCCAAGTGATGTAGGAAAGCTAAATCGTCTGGTGATCCCAAAACAGCACGCAGAGAAGTACTTTCCTTTAGATTCATCAGCGAATGAGAAGGGTCTTTTATTGAATTTTGAGGATCGAAATGGTAAACCTTGGAGATTCAGGTATTCGTACTGGAATAGTAGCCAGAGCTATGTTATGACTAAAGGTTGGAGCCGTTTTGTGAAGGAGAAGAAGCTTGACGCTGGTGATATTGTGTCTTTTCAAAGAGGGGCAGGTGAATTGGGTAAAGATCGTTTGTACATTGATTGGAGGCGCCGGCCGGAAGCACCGGACCACACCTCTCACCACCAACACTACCACCACAACCACCATTTCTCATCAATCCCATGGAGCCCTTTACTCATGCGCCCACCAACAGGACCAGTCTTGCCAAGGGACCACCTCCACTTGTCTAATCCTAATAGAAATGCTTATTACGATTCTCGTGGCAGTTCTTATGGTTATGGTTTTGGTAATTACAACAATGTGGTAAACCCTTGTTCATCTTCTGGGCCAGTTTTTTACATGAGATCATCAGCAGGAGCAACAGCAGTAGCTCCAGCTCCACAACAGGTTGGAATGGGGATGGTGCAATGGCAGCTAGGAGGAGGTGGGGTGGTGGAGCCAATGGTGTATGAGTCGGTGCCAGTGGTCCAAGGCAAAGCAGCAGCAAAGAGACTGAGATTGTTTGGTGTAAACATGGATTGCCCCATTACAGATCAATCTGATGACTATGATCACAAATTTTCCTCAACAGCAGCAGCATTACCTCATAACGCTACTATTGCATTGCAGCCTACTCCTCAACTTGCTTCACAGTCTCTGCAACATCCTCTCCACCAATTGAGGCTATATAGAGGCACCCCACTACCAGCAATGCCACCCTCCACTACTCAATTTCTCCACAAAGGGAAGTCATCATCATCATCATCCTCCATGTCCTTGGATTTAGATATCTGATTATTGACTCCTTATGAGGTCCAAAATTCTAGACTTTCCATCAACAAACACCACAACAAGGTGCATATCAAGACACAGCTAGCCAATTGATCACTTCTTTTACATTAGATTTCTTCATTTCTTTTATGCTCACCAATACCCCAGAAATCACAAATGCTGCTTCACCATAGTCATTACTTTATGATGATGATGATGAATAAAGACGAATGAAAAGGGTCTTATCTATGAATTACTATTGCTGCCTACAATAGTTCACATGTGACTTGTTTAAAGTTGGGGGGTTTTCCAAAGGATTTATTAGCCAGCAGCAGCCAGAATGCGAAAGAAACTTGGAGAGAGACCAATGTTTCAAATACTGTCTTTCTTTATCACTTTGTATAAAAATATGTAGTACTACATGTCAATAGATATAGACTTGTATCAGAGACATATATCCATCCTTGTTGCCCAAGATTCCATGGTTTCTTTCCTTTTCTTTTTTGTAGGGCCTGGTTTTCATTTTCCTCAATATGTATCAATGCAATGGTTTCTCACTGATTTATTAGTTTCCAACCTCTTTTATTCTCTTTGGCTACTAACTATTCTCTCACTGATCTTTCTTTCTTCACTGTTATCTAAGTAGTATAGTATAACAAACTTTCCTGACTCCTGTGTGTAAACTCCGTACTGTAAGATTATTAGCAACCTGATACAATTTGTAGCTTTCTCTACTCTCTCTCTCTCTCTCTCTCTCTCTCGTTTTTACCTTGGTAGGTTGTTGTTCCTGTCGCTGGTTCATTGGACAAGGCCGCAGGTTTTGCAGACAAAGTAGCAGAGCTTTAAAAGGTAGTGTTTTCCTATATTCCTTGCCCTCTTTATTTATTTTATCTTTAATTATTGCTTTCATGTTTAGCCTCTTCCTTTTAAAACTTTTTTTTTTTTCCCGGAGCGGGTGGGTGTTCATTTTTTTTTTTCAAAATATTTTTATACCACAACTCACATAAGATTAATCATTTTTTAAACAAAAACGATAAAGCTTAATTTTTCTTAATAAATAAAACTCTAAAATCGAATTTTTTACATCCATAAAAAATTCATCTAGATGTGTAGTTGCTATTTATAACTAATTAATCCTCATTATTCTCTTATGAATCATTATTATACAAATTAAATAGCTTAAAAACTGTTTTCTTTTTTGTGATTAGAAGATAACTAGAAAGTCTAAGAGATTGACATTTCTACTTAACTAGTTGCTAGTTGCTACTCACCCTTAAACAATTAGTATATCTTTCAAACTTATTGCTTATAACTTTTGCTTTCACTTCAGAATTAGTAGTTTCAATGGTTAAATACTGGACCATGGAATATAATTAAAATAGGAGTATCCCTTTACAAAGTTGTCCCTCACTTTAATGTAAACAATGGTAGATTAGTGTATTATCGCTGTATTGTGCTATCTTTATGTCATTATCACTTCAAATTAACATTTCTCGCACTTGAACAACATACTCATTTAAAACTATCTTGTTAAGTCATTTTTATAACTCCAATTAATTATAACTTAGTTTGGTCTCATGCATTATTCCCATTCTTATCACAACTTAATTATCTTCATGATTTAGTGGATCACCAAACTAATTAATTTCGAATTACATATTTTTGGAATCCCATTAAATCTCTGAGTTGACCTTTAGTAATAGCTCTTTGCATTTATGCCTTATTGATTGATGATGAAAATGACAGCTCTAGTTTGCTTGTTAAAAAACAGATTACTAATTTGAGAACAAGAGACACAATCGAAGACATGATCAATTAGAGTGCTGCCTAATTAAGAAACCATTGGTCATGCTGAGTATTAACTTAAATATATCATGCTGAATGTGGAGGGTGCATTAGGGACCAATATTAGACTAGAAATCATTAAGTTGTAAGCTACAAGTACATGATCAATGACTCAAAGCATTTTGAAAAACTAGTAAGGTTCTTGACAAATATTTTTCTCTTTGAGTTACTAATATCACATTATCACCTTTCCCCAGGACTTTTTTCTCTTTGATCTCCTCTCTAATTGAGATGTCAATTTTACTTCGTGTTTGAATTCAATCAACTCCTGCAAATGAAAGTTTGATCAATCTGTGAGAGGAAACAATGCGGTCAAGTAGCCACCTTTTGTCCTATGTATTGGCTTGTTGTTCATCTTTAGTGGAGAGCATGCATGTCTTGAAGTTTTCATTTAAATTAGTTAATTTCATCCATAAATTTTAACCGGTACTAGTCCAATTACCATGAATCATAAGCATGACTTCAAACACTTCAATACTCTTAAGGTAGATAGTTACATTGAGCACTTAACTAATATAATTAGATAGTTGAAATTAATTTTTATTTAAAAAATTTAAACTTTACGGTGGATAATCATTTTTCAACTTTAAATATTAAAATTTAATCTATTATTTATTTATATTTATTCGACATGAGATGTGTTTTCTAATATTTTTTTCAATTGCAATCCATCTTTTAAGGTATGTTAATTGACCTAAACTTCAAAATTTTTGTTCGATTATTAAATTTTTATTGAAGCTCTGTCACCATATTAAGTTAAATAGTTGAGATTGAATTCTATTTAAAAACTTAAACTTTGTGATGCAAGAAATGATAGTTAATTTGTTGCTTGCTTTTAGGGTCCGTTAATTGATCTAAACTTCAGAATTTTTGCTAGGTTGTTAAATTTTTTTGAGGTTACGTTACCATATTAAGTTAGACAGTTGAGATTGGATTATATTAAAAAAACTTAAACTTTGTGATGCAAGAAATGAGGGTTAATTTGTCGCTTAAAAGAGCCTTATATTTTAAAGATGCTTAGAAAGTAAGGTTTTAGAAGTTTCTACATAAGAGAGGTGGTATAACCTGAAGGAAATGACATGGAATTGTTGTCTTCCTTCTCTACAGGCCATATCTCCAACTATCTCTATCATCTAAGTAATCATTTATATAAGGGGCCAGCTTGGATTATATGCTATGAATCTGTACAATATTGAAGTTGATGCATTTCTAATAAGTACAATGATATGTGTCGCATTTGGAGCCATAAATATAGGTTTTGCTTATTGGAGTGATGTGATGAGATATAGTTTAGCTCTACCTGATGCTTGAATAATCACTAGATCTTGAACTTCGTAAAATCTTTTTGTTTGAGTTGGCCATCTCTGTTGGTGCAAACCTATAATCATGCTGCAAACAGAAATAGCTATATCATTCCATGCTCGATCCTAGATGCATATGTACATGTCACAGGTAAGTAATGCTACATTGTGATTATGCAATTGGTTTTTGCTACTACATTTTTTGGCAAAGTCCCTTCGAACGTGCGGTACTGGGGTTGATTGCATGCCAAATTGATTGTTCTAACTTTTTATACCAGTGATTGGCTACAAGAAACTTTATATATAGATTTTTTTTTTTTTTTTTTTTCCTGAGAAGAGAAAAGAATCTTGGTTCTGGATTACAACGGAAAGATGCACATTTCTCATCCCATGGATATATTTGATTGTGGCTAGTTCAAGTGATAAATCATGAAATATATTGTATCCATGGTTCTCTGCGCTTAGTTAATTAACTACCCTTTTAGTCCGAGGGATCAGTTCATAATCTTGAGAAGCTCTTTCTTAATTAGTAGCAACTTTATGTCAAATCATTTTGTTTTTGATATCAAGGTTTATTGATATCGATCTTAAGATTATCTATAGATTTGAACTTATGAGATACTAGAAGATAAACTACAACTTCTAATTCCATAAATACACAAGGGAAATAGGTTTCCCATGAATTCAAGAAAACATGTTGCGGTACTCAAGAGACTAAGCAGAATGTTATTTTTCCTTAATTTCATTGTAAATTAGAACGGCATGGAAAAAGAAACTGCAAACGAAGCAAAGGTAAATCTCAAGTTCCAAGTTCATATTTGGTTTTCTTAAGAAATAGGAATAGGATTCCAATTCAAATCAATTTTTATCTGAAATCAAATGTATTTGTGATATATAGAATTTGGATAATACTTTTTTAAGGAATGGAAAAAAAGATTTCCGTCATATTTCTAGTTCCAATCGAACCAAAATATGGATGAATGTAAATACTAGACGAATAAAACATTTTTATGATTTATTTTTTTTATTTTTATTTTTTTACAATATGGATATTTTTGTGACCAACTTGAAAATCAATAGAGACTAATTTTTTTAGATAATTTTTAAAAACATCCCATCATATTGACAAGATGTGTTGATCTCAAGGTTTAAATTCAAAGGATTAAAAAATAAAACAAAATTCATTAACCATCTTCTATTTTGTACGGATGGAAGAGGCTCTAGGAGAAAAAAAGAGGGGGAATGGCACTAGTAAAAAAGTTGATTACATAGACTCTAGTTTATTTGTTCTTTAGGTTTTTTTTTTTTTTTTCTAATTTTAATATTCAAGATATTCTCAAATTAGCTTTCCCATAGCAAAATTAAATCCTTCTATAATTCTAATATTGAAAGAGCATGTGCATTCACAAGCACCAAAACCCACTTATCTCGTTAACCAATAATTGAAGGGTAAATGGCTTATTTGTTGAAACCAGCTAATACCAGAAATATATGACCTTTGACATAATTATCCCATTAATCATACCTTAATTATTCAACGTCACGTTGATTTTGAGAGTGACATCCCAGATTTTGGTATGGTTTTTAGGAGAACAAATCATGACTAACCAACCCACGCAAGTTCAAGAATTTTGTACACGAGGAATACCAAATCTTAGTTTAAGCAAATATGAAGAGGAAATAATTAGTTGGTATCCATATGTGCACGTCCTGTTGGATCACGTTCTTATGAATCCTACCGTGATCGTAGAAAAATTGCATCCATAACCAAAACCAGTAGTAAATGATTAATTTAGGTTTAAATCATATAATTAGAACCATATCTTAATTAAGGTAAGCAATAATTGAAGCAATAGTTTAAAGAAACGAGACTTCAGGTACAATTACGTCAACTATATATTAACCCCTAAATTATTAGCAATTAAGCATGTGTTTTGATCGACAAGACACATTCTTAGCCATTACGTTAGTGTTTTGATGAATGATTGAGATTAATTTGAACTATTAAAAGTTATAAGTAAAATAGTAAGAAAAGTGTTTCTAACCTAAACACATTATGTGTTCGATTTTCATCCTTAAAAAGCTTCTCCCACTCCTTCTAGTAGCACTAGATATAGGATCAAAAAGTCCAGCTTTTAGAAACAACGAAAGGTTATATATGTTGGTGGTGGGATCAAAGAGTTCGATTTTTATACTTAATTAAAAATTAGACGTGATCTAATATTAATCTAATTAAAAAATAATGAATTTAATCTCAATTGATGTGATTGAAATTAGTTTTGATTGATGTATTTATTCGGTAGTTAGTACATAAAAGTTTGTTTGACATCGATGCCTAAAAATTAGAACGATAGTTTAAAGTTGTATACCAAACTTTGAAATTTAGATTATGGGAAACTAATTATTTTATGCCGACAGAAATATGCAGTTTTTGTAGACTAAATGTAAAAGCCCTAGAAAAGGAACTGATAAAATCCCCTTTTGAAAGTCTCGAATTTAAGTGGACATGGGCTGTGCCGTTTTTGCCACTATAAGCTTAGTTGTTTTTGGATTGTTATACTTTTCAAAGACAAGCCACAGAAATACTTCACTCTTAAACATAGCCTCATCATACACTTCATGTACATATAGATGCACTAGATAGCTAGGGTCCATCTCTGCTAGCCCTGGCATCGATCTAGAATCTATATATATATATATGGCTCATAGGACACTAATTCCAGAAAGAGACCCATCAGTGTATTGATTGCTATGGAGCATAATGCATACTTGGCTAGCTAGGGCTGCCTTGGGAGTACTAGCTAGCTGGTGATCAGGTACTTGCACTAGACCACAAAGCCACCACAGCAGAGAGACAAACCTAACAATACTATGGACAATCTCATACTATTTTGATGGCATCATCAATTTCATCGAGTTAGCAAACTCCCTGATCCATAGCAGCATTTTGTACACTTTTTACAAGCACTTGGTTGGAAATTGGTATTAAATGGCATACAAGCATTAAGAGACGACTAAAATTAATGTTAAATAGCCTAAAGACCTTAGCCACACTTGTGTTTAATTTTTAGCTCATGTTCGAAAATGGAAAACAAAACAGACTTGTAGTATATATATATCCCTATAAAAGTTAACCTAACTAGCTAATTTGGAGTTTAAAATGTTTTCTTTTTTTTTTTTCCTCCAATTATCTCGGATCAAAAGTTTAATATCCTAAATTTAAATATTTAAACTAATCTTTCGTTGTTTTATTGGATGCATAAAGCGAAGATTACCATCTAGAAAGTTTTTTTAATATACAAAAACTCAAAATTGAGATAATGTATTTAAACAATCAGGTCCTTCCGTTTAAGCTAAACCTCTTGAGTGCTTCATAGTACATTAAAATGCCTACTTCAACACTATTTGCGGTGCATGATTATGTAATGTAATGCTCTATAAAAACAATATTTAAAGGGTTTAAACAAGTTCAAAAGTATATGCCCATCAGTGGTAACTACACGAACGATAATAAAGTAATGAAACCGAACTAGATGCCAAGTTTTTCCAACACATAAACCTGAGGTTAGAGAGAGAGAGGGAGAGGGAGAGAAAGGAAGGAATTAGTCCCCACTCTAGCTAGAAAGAGATTGACTACAGGGTTAGGGTTCTTAGGCTTAATCAATGACGACAATAATGAAAGAAATAGTAGAGAAAAGTAGTTGTCATTGGTCTTTAAGCCCTGGAATACATATATTTCTCTCTTTCTACTAGTTTTCATTTCTTCACATGTACAAAAGAGATGAGTGAGGATGTGAACCCTACTGATCACTACTCCCACTCCCTAGAATTGCATGGACCACGTTTGATATATATATATATATATATATATTTCCTTTTTGTTTGTAATGCATATAATTCCCCGTGATTGCAAAACATACCACAGTACCCTTCTTTTCTTTGGCTTTATTATGGACAGTAAAGAGTGAAATCCTTTTTACTGTTCGGAATCGATTTGCTCTTCACGTTATCATTTTCGGTTCAATCCAATGAGGAAAAAAAAAGTTCATAAAAATCTAAGTCGGATTCGTTCGGAAAAGAATTTTACTTCGAAAATGCATGAAATGAATGGCAAAGAGTAAAGGCCCTCTTGTTTTCTTTGCCATTATTTTTGTTTCTCTGTTGTAAAATATTAAAGAAGAAGAAGAAGAAAATAAAAGAGAGAAAGTGAAAGGTGCATGACACCCTTCTTTTTTTCCCTCATTCTACACTGAACATTCCATGTCCCTTAAAAAGTGAAAATGTACACATAGAGAATCTGGACTGTTATCGAGTATGAGTCATCAAGAAACGTTAAAGAGTGAACGGCTAATATTGAACAGAGGAGACATAAAGGTTAACAGTACTTTTTTATCTTGTGGTTTCGTTATGGGATCATATGATACTTTCCTGCAGAAAGAGATGGGAAAAGGTAAAGAAATTAAGCAGCAGAAAAAGAAGGCCAGGAAGCAGCTCAGTAGAAACAAGCAGGTAGCAGAGAGAGAGAGAAGAAAGTAAAGCTATAGATTCAGTGTTTACAGCTATATACGGCTTTCATATTATAATTATGGCATGGCATTAACAATGTTGTCAGTACTGGTGCAAAGGGTGGGATGGCAGCAGATCCCAGAAAACAACCACAATTATATAGGGTGGTGTATTGATAGTAACATCACACACGCACCCCTCAAGAACAGCCGTAAAGATAAAGCAAATTGCTTTCACATCATGCATATGTGTGTAGATAAGTCTTCTTTCTTTTAACCATTAGGCCATTTCTTTGACTAATTTTCGTGTATCAACTTTAAATCTAAATTTTTATCATTATTAGAACCTACTCGTTCTGTTACAAAAATATGTATTCTTTAATTTTTCATGTGAATTAATAAAGTTATTATAATTTCTGTCCCAAAAAGACTTTCATTTGATTCAAATTCTAAAATCGCTTTTTTTGAAAGAGATTAAAATCTTATCATTTTTAAGAGCTAACTATAATTAATCATATCTCCAATGTGTGATGTAATATATGAAAAAAACCAAAAAAGAAAAAAAGAAAGATCGGCCTTTTGATTTTTCATGCAAATTAAAAAGGTTATTAATTGATATATCATATCAATATTTTTTATCTTTTTAGAATTGTATTTGTATTTTTTATATATAGATAAAATAGACTTTAATTAGGGGCATTTAAAAAAAATACACGACTTAATCTTTTTGGGATGGAGAGATTAAATATTATTTCATATTTGCATCTTTATTTCATACTTTCTTAAATTTTTTTTTAAGAATTGTATTTGGATAATTTTCTATAAATTAAACTTTAATTATATAATTTTTTTAAATACACTATTTAAATTTTTGACAAATAAATATTTTGAGGTATATATAAATAAAAACACATACATTTTTTTTAAACAAAGGGCGTACATTGATAAGTTTTGAAAAGTTTATTTTCTCATTTTTTTTTATTGAATTCAAACTCTAAAATTTGAATCTGAAATAATAACGTGAAGAGCAAATCTAATCTTATTGTTGTTTTAGAGAATATTACAAAGATGTATATAGAGGTGTTTTCTTTTAATGATTAAAGCATTTTTGAACTAGTGTTTAAACAACAAATGAAAATATCTACCAAGTCCTGTTTAGGTCTGTGTTTGTTTGGAAGAAAATAAGTTTCAAAAACTTATTTTTCTCATTTTTTTGATATTTGTTTCACTTTTGGGAAAAAAAGTCAACCGAAAATGATTTCCAATCAATGAAAAATGATAGAATATTTTTGAAAAAGTGTGTTTCGAGTTAAAAAAGAGAAAAACATTTCCCTCTCTCTCACGAGCTATCTAACTCTCATGGTACTCATCTTTCTCTAGATATATTTTAACAAATTTTTTCTCTATCTTCTTTTATTTAAAATATATCAAATTATTTTTTAATTATTTCTTATCAATTTTTTTCTCTATTTCTACTAACATTTGATTTTTCGATTTATAAATATATTAAATGTTCTTAAAAACCATTTTTACTCCTTAAAATTATTTTAATAATAAATATTTTAATAATTTATCTCTTTTTTTTTATTACCTCAAACATCACATAAACTATACTTAAATGATTGAAAATAATTATTACAAAGCTACTATCATTTGTGAAATTTTGGAAACTAATTAATTCATTAATAAATACATTATTTTTCCAACATTATTCATTTGTAGCTAAATCAATAATTTGTGATTAATTTTAATCATTTGTAAAATTTAATTGGTAATTGTAGTTAATAATTAGTTACAAATTATTCCAACATTAATCTTTTGAAATCAAATGAATAATTATCTATAAATGATAACTAATAATTTGTAAAACTATTTTTTAGACTAACTTATCAGTTCAATTAAAAAAAAAACTATTTTTGTATTTTAGTTTTCTGTTTCAAACAAACACTGAAATTGATACAAAAAACTAAAATATATTTTTTAATAATTTTTTCATGTAATTGCCAAACGTAAAAAAAATAAAAATAATAATAATATAATAATAATAATAATTTAGAAAATAATTTTCTCAAAAATAGCTTTTCCAGAATTGATTTTCATATGAAAGTTATTTTATGTAAAAATTTCTTTTTTCAGAGTCATTTCATTGCATTGGATGCAAACCCAAGAGTTGAATGTGAAATAACGATGTGAACAGCAAACCCAATTGTTACTTAAACGAATACTGCAAAGATTTGAATGAAGAAAAGGAGAGGATGGAAATAATAATAATAATAATAATAATGGGGTTGGCAACTTTTTCTCCTCTGAAATCTCTGACCACCTGGATGGGATAGGGGTAATATATTTTGTCCTACACAAGCATTGATCTCCCTCATTCAATGCCGGGTACCCAGATTGTTTCTCTAAGGTATCATTAAATAACTGCACCATGTTTCAGGCCCAGTTGCCCACTCCTCTAACATTTCCTGTTTCATCTCTTCCTTCCTTTTTTTGTCTTCACTCTCTTTAGCTGCACCTATAGAGTCCCCTCCATTGTGTCTACTTTTCCTTTCTCCTTCCACTCTTTTACCATCTGCCTTCCTGCTTGCTTCCCACTATTTCTTCTGTCAAATATCCATTTAAGAAGCGTCTTCAATGAAAGTTCCTTTAACAATTCAAATTCATCATCATATCTAAGAATTTAAAGAATTCGAGAACGATTTTATATCACTCTCTAGCATTTTTCGTCGCATAGAATTATTTTGGTTTCATAAAACAATGGTTAAAAAGAATATGGACCATGTGAACCATACCGAGAAAGAAAAGAGAGTAAAGAAGACGGTTTTCATTTCTAGGATAAGCTTAAAATACATGCACCATGTGGTTTGGCAGCATTGATCGATCCTTGGATGACGAAACAGACTATGATTTCTTTTCTTTTACTTCTGGCCATCTACGTAAAAAGATCATAATTTGCATAAACTAAGTACTAATACCTGCAAGATTTGGAACTAGGGTTCATGGTAACAAATTGCTAAGTTAAAGGTCCCCTCACTACAGTGACTTGTCACTTTTGTCCTTGTGGCTGAGTGACTACATGGGCTGTCCTTGTATTTTGCAAATTCCATGTGGGCAGACAAACCCTAAGCCTAGCTAGATAATGCATTTCATATTGTGGTACCACTCCACAGTAAATGAGAGATAAATGACCTTGTTCCTTCCATCTCCAATCTCTGGCCATGGAATTTCCATCTCATTTTCCCTTCATTTCTTTATATGAAGAAAATACAGAAGACAAGGATTTGTAATGACCATTTACCATGACAGGGTATAAGAACAAAAAGCAGCATATGGTTTAAAGAAATGCACCACACAAAAGAGTGTGTGTATATATATATATATATAACATGAGATCAAATGCTGCTCAAATGTCAAATTCATCTTCAGGTGTGCTGATCATGAATCATGGCGATGTGAATTTGCAAACTAAGTTGGAGACCTCAGGCCCATGTTTCAGTGACATTAGACATTAAAATGCCAGTCAGCTTTTCAGTGTATGTTTGGGAAGAATTGGTTCTTGGCACTCCAGTGTGATAGAATATTAGACAGGTGATGAAACTGAAGAGTTAATGAGATAATGCCACTCTACAAGTAGTATATTATGACAACATGCTATGACTCCATTACTGTCTGCTTTCCTGATATCACTCTCACTCTACCTTGATGGTGTCTCTGAAGCCCATGGAGGAACAAAGCTAGGGCAATGAAAATAGAAACACAAGAGAAATCATAAAAAGGGCTATAGAAAGCCCTGGTGGATGCATCTTTAACTCTAAAGCCCATGTGGTTTGGGCTTTTTAAGTAGAGGACAAATATGGTGGCAGGCCCATAGCCATAAACTCTTGTTGGATTTCAGGTTCAACAATGGCATGGGAGCAAGTCAAATAGAGAACTCAATCAGTTCAGCAAAAATAGAATTCCAAGCCGAAGCATAGACAAGATCACAGAAAGCACTAGATTAAACTACTAATAACTAAACAAGATGTCAAAGGGCTTTTCATACTAGGTTTTGTAGCCTACTGATATTTCTTACCCTTTAAAGGGTGAGCTTAAAGCATTAGAATTATATGGACAATATCATTTACTGTACTCAATTGTTTATCAAAGAAACAAAAGATATTTCCTTCCCTTAGCCCCATCAATGAAACAGTTACTTGCCTAAGTTCCCAGCAGTATGAAATATAAAGTCAAGAGCTTCGACAACTTGTATCAAACCAGTAAAACTTACATGTATATACATCTGGAAGCAAGCTCAACACAATTGGGTTCCCAATGCAAGAGCTTTATGATAAAATCACCAACCTTACAGCAGAGGGCGGGAAGGACAGATGGTTACATCATAGACCTCAAGGGAGAACCAAGGTAATTACTATATCTTTTATCTCATTGCCATCTTTATCTTTTCCATCTCAGTTTTCATACCCAAAACACAAGCTTTATACTTCATGGAACAAAGAGCTGCTTCAGCCTCAAGCCACAAATTCTTGTAGAACAAAACTTGAGGGTTCTCTTCTTCCTCAGGTTGATGACGTCCTACCAAAGCCTTCTCAATGGCCTGCAGCACAAACAAAGAATGCCAAGATTTGGCTTCTTAGAAATAGATTTTACCCACAAGTTCCAGAAATTGTAAAGGGTACCTGAGTGATGTATTCACTTTTCTTAAATCCTTCATTCCCTGCATTTAAAGAATCCAGGAATCTCTCCCTGAAACTAGTAGAACAACTCGTCTGCCTTTCATGCTTATTCTGACTCCCAAGTTCATGTGAAACCATCACAGCCTTTGTCCTTGACCTTGTTGCTTGAAGTTCCATGTTCGAGCACTGCTGAAGAAATTATTCAGTTCTTGGTATATAATAATGAAAGGTCAGATGAAAATTCTACTACAGTCAAAAGCAATACCAGATAAATCAACACACAAGAGAAAATAAATTCATCGTTCAAATATAACCCAGAAGTGACAAGTTATTTCTCATGGAGAAGGAAGCCAGCAATTGATATGGATAAGCAAAGTTTTATGCAACAATCATATCGAATGAGTAATGAAGGTATTAAACAAAAGTCATTCACAAGAAAACGAAACATTGAAATTGATTGTTACTAATAAAATGGACCATGTGCCAACATGACTATAGCAAGACGACCTTGATAATTCTACAATGAGCAATATACAAAATTTATAACTACTCAAAAACCCATTAGGAGCCTGAGTATTCTAACGGAACTTGAAATACAACTTACATATCTCCTCAAATCAGATCCACAACTTTTAGAAACCAAAACACCATACCTTGCTTAGATCAGCTGATTTCATAACACAATATGACGTGCAAGGATGACCTGATTCAGACGTCAGAGTATGCTCTCCAACCCTGCTTCTGGTACACAGAGTAAGATTATGGACAATGCGCTTGATTATATCATGTTCATGCTCATTCAGAGAATCAAAATCATTTGCGCATTTTTGCATAAGCAATTCTGACAGTTCATTCATTGTTTTAACCACTATTTGAATATCTAATCTTGGAGGTGTGCACAAAGGCTTAGTTACACCCCCATATGTTTCACTTAAATTGGCAGAAACACCAGCTCTACAGGACGATGAACTGATGACATGTTTGCTTGCAAACAAAGGCACACTAGTTGAATTAGGTACTGCATCCTTGACATCTTTCCCAAATCCTCTAACATTTTGCCCGGACAGAAGCTGGCCACTAGATGTGAAGTAATCTTTCAGAACGGATGGTTGAACCATGCAAGATGAGCTGAGCATGGAGCTACTACAAGAGTCAGTCCGTAACTCATAATGCTTATTGGGAACATGCATGTCATTATAGCAATGTGTCTCAGTAATGCTGCTCTGTTCTGAAGAAGATGATCCAGCTGTAGCAGAATTTTGTAGTCTCTGTTCTCTGGAGGATAAACTAACTGCAGAAGATGCAGTCTTCTGGAAAGATAAACCATCATCTTCATCACATTCATTTCCACAGTAATTTACTTTTTGTTTGTCCTTGCTAGGGAAAAAATGAGGAGCGAGAGGATTTAAATTACTGCATGCTTCTTGTCCACTTTTAAGATGTTGGAAATTATCAGGTATGGAAACTTCACAGCTTGATTGATTAGCAGCAAGTTTTCCTTTCCAACAAGGAGAATCCAGATCAGAATCACCCACATTGATTATTTTAGAAGAATTTTCAATAGGATCACTTTCTTCAACACCAAGGGATTTCAGAGTCAAATCAGTAGGAAGACGAGGACAAGTGATTTGCAGCTCAGACTTTGCCATTGGCACAGGCTCCATAATTTCATGAGTGACAGGTTTGACCATTTTTCTTTCTTTGCCTTTATCTGTCAAGACTTCACCATGGAAAACTTTCTTGCTTCTATCCACAACAGCATGAGGCTTCTTTCCACTGGCTTGACCATACCAAAAAATGTTATTTTTGCTTACTCCACCATATCCATCAGAATCTAGGTTCTCTGACAACCCATGATTAAGGGGTGAATAACTTGTACTAGCTCCTGATGGTTCAGAGGCTAAAGCTGGCAAATAATCGCTATCCGATGAAGGGGAAACATTCAGTTTGGCTGGATGAAAATCAAGTTGCTGCGAAAAGCTTCTCCCAAAAGAAGCAATGTTTGAATCACAGGAGCTCCAAGATATTGCTGGTGGTAGGTAATTTATCCCACTTTGAGGATCTTGAAGTAAGGCAGAAGAGTGCAAATCTGATGATGTCGAAAAGTTAGAAGGGGTTGGCCCAGACTTCACTGCTGAAAAAGAGATACATTTAGTGTCAATTTGCCTACTAGTTTTAGGTCTGAGTTCAAGATCCTTTCTTGAGATCCCAGAGAATTTTCCACACAAACTATCAGATGTTTCTGCACTCAGCTTCAATCCTTCAGCAGGAGATCCTGCAGGGAAGACAATAGTTTGTGAACTAAAGCCACTGCAAGATACTAATTTCATTCATAAATACGCATTCAACGTTTTATAAAATCTCAAAAAACCTAGTAATAATTGAAAAGGTTAAATGAAACTACTCAAGCCAGAAAAGAAGAAAACATATTCAAACACATACCCAATAACCACTGAAAAGACTATATCAAATTACTTCACCCAAATGAGAAAAAAAAAATCACTTTTAAGCACACAAAGTTACAACCATATTGATAGAAAATCTACAGTAAGAAGAATGAATATACCAGGAAAATGAGCAATAAAGAATACAGAATTCATAAATGAATCAATCCCTGCTGCATGGCATGCATTATATTGCACATATTGGATAATGTTTAATAAGAAAGACATGTGAATCTCATTTCACAGTGAAAAGGTTTTATATCCAAAGCACCTGCCTCTGCTTTTGGTATTAACTGATGATAATGAGCAATTTATATCTCATCAGAAACAAACACTATGCAGGTGCTACTCTCTTCAATATAAAGTTCCACAGCCTAGTGATGCCCAAATGCCAAACATTGCTAAGCTCCTGCTATCCCAATGATGTTGAAACCACAACCGCAACATTTAGATAACTAATTTATTGCAAGAATTTCTCAAGCAAACCAGCAAAAGGCAACTCTTATGTTCATCACATGCAGTTCTACATAGAGACAAATCCATACACAGCCTCTCTTGTGATTTAAATGAACAATCAATGAATTAATACTTGCCGCATTGTTGAAGCCATTGAAGGGAGCTACTAACACATACCCTAAAACATATTCAAACACTAACTGTAAGAAGAATGAATATACCAGGAAAATGAGCAATAAAGAATACAGAAATCATAAATGAATTAATCCCTGCTGCATGACATGCATTATATTGCACAGATTGGCTAATATTTAATAAGAAAGACATGTGAATGTCATTTCACAGTGAAAAGGTTTTATTTCCTCTGAAAATGAACCTCGTTTCGTTTCTCAAGAAAGATGAGTTACCTGGGCCATGCAAATATGAAAAGTTAGCATGTCAGACACTAACTGTCAACAACAAACATTCCATGATTATCCCAAGCACCTGCCTCTGCTTTTGGTATTAACTGATGATGATGTGCAATTTATATCTCATCAGAAACAAACACTAAGCAGGTGCTACTTTCTTCAATATAAAGTTCCACGGGCTAGTGATGCCCAAATGCCAAACATTACTAAGCTACTGCTATCCCAATGATGTAGAAACCACAACCGCAACATTTAGATAACTAATTTATTGCAAGAATGTCTCAAGCAAACCAACGAAAGGCAACTCTTATGTTCATCACATACAGTTCTACACAGAGACAAATCCATACACAGCCTCTCTTGCGATTTAAATGAACAATCAATGAATTAATACTTTCCGCATTGTTGAAGGCTTGAAGCCATTGAAAGGAGCTTCTAACAATTTATAAGCTTCTCCTAAGAATGGACGTTAACAACAAGTCTGAGTTCATGGCATAACATTAAACATCATGAGTGATGGATTCTTGCCAGATGAATAGGTTCTCTCTTATCCCTCCCAAGTTTTAGAATTTAGCAGTAAAGAGTTAACAAGCTATATTCAGTCATTTTATACAATCTCCTAAACTTTGCATAACAAGTAATATAACAAAAATAGAAAATATTAAAGAGAACTAATTTACTCTACCGATTCTCTAAGATGATTTTACCTAGGCTAAAGCATGAAACTTAAAGCACACCTTGTTTCGTGGGGTCATCATTAGATATTGAAAAGCCACCAAGTTTATCCTTCCAGTGAAGGATCCCTTGGTGATCACCACTCTTGGGCTTATAACCAAGTTCAGGGGACTTATTGACAGGCACAGCATTAAAGTCTGACTTTGACTTAGTAAACAAAGCAAAATCAGCTGACTCTTGACAAACCCCAGAGGAATATTGAGGATAATAAGCAAAGGAGTCTCCTTCTAAACTGAAACTTGAAAAGGACTGATCAAGTATGGAACTTGAAGGGCTCAAGCTTGTATCTTGAAGTGAAGAATTACGAGCAAAGCTTGGATTAATGGGTTTGCTCAAGGTAAAAGGCCTAGCTAATGGTGATAAACGAGAAAGAGACCCTCTTTTTGTGTCACTTGCCATTGTGTTTCTTGTTTTTTTGTTTTGTAACGACTTGATGATGATGATCAAAACCCCAACAAAGACACAGAATTTGATAAAATCCACAAAAGGGCTTAAGGGGAATGTGAATTCAAGACAAAAGCCTTAGTCTCTTATGCACAAAAACAAAAAGAACACGAATGGAAAGTGGAAGTTGTGTTGGGGTTTGATGTTTTGGTAGGTCGGTTTTAGTGGGCTTCTGTGTATCTTCCTTCTCTTTCTCTTCTTCCAAGCACAAACAGATGGGCACTGGCAATTATTTCGTCTCTTGTGAAATTTCCTTTGGTGACCCAATTTTTTGGGTATTTAGTTTATTGACCACTGAATTTTCATTAAAGTTCACAAAACTAATAATTAATCCTAATGATTTTAAAAACTAACTTTGATCATAACTTAGTCTTGTTGTTGACTTCAAGCTATTTGCCAGTTTTTTTTTTTTTTTTTTCCCTTGATTGAAAAGTAGAGAAAACAAAGGAAAAAGATAAAGATGGAAAATTTGATTAATTAGTACAGAAATAAATTTTGGAACACAATATTTTTAAATTGAGTATGGTCAATGCTAGCATTAAGAGAATGTTTAATTAATTGTTTATGATATCATAGGCACTAAATAATTAGTTTTAATAAACTACAAAGGCGACTGAGTTATGGCTAATAGGCAAAAAGTCTTTTCCAATCCTAAAGACGATATTATAATTATAATTGATAATTGATTTTTTTTTTTTTTTTTTTGCAAAGAATATAAATTGTTTTTCTAACACTATTCATGTAATGCTTCGTATCTCATAAAATAAATGATATGGTCACGCGTGTAATAAGAAAATATTTTTAATCATATATAATAGATTCAACTTGGTGAAAAAGGAAAAATAACTTAAAACATGCATAAAAAAATATAAAACAACAACAACAACACAAAATTTACGTAATTTAATAAATATATTAATTTTACATAACGTATTAAATTGTGAATCATATTAACTTTGGCTTGGGAATTTTGAAAAAGAAAAATAACTTAAGACATATATGTCAACCAAAGCCTAGAGACAAGTTAAATAATATAGTGGGAGAAGATTGGAAGTTTCTGTTAACTTGTCTTCATTCTTTTGCAAGTCAATACGCGTAATGTAGCATCATTGTAAATTATAAGTTAACAATATTGTTAAAACTCATCCAATTACCCACTATCGGTTTTTTGAAAGAAAAAAAATATCTACATACGGTTTTTTTTTTCACATAATAATTCTATTAAATTGAAGAAGGTTTTTATCTTTAAATTAGAAGCCAACTAAGAAACAAAATGATTCTCCACGAAGAGAATGAAACGGACTTATATGCTATTATACGAACTTTCAAAATTATATAATAAAAATTTTACATATAAACTAAAGATTAATTCCAATATAAATGAAAGAAAGAAGAAATCCACTCTTCCTCTTTTCATATAACAGGAAGAAATTCAAATTTCATCACACACAAGTACAAGCATTCCCATTCTACATTTATACTACATAGAAGAAATAAAATACCAAATTGCCCTCTTATTACTGCTATATCTAGCAGCAATTTTAAACTAACTACGACTAATCGATAATTAAGCTAATATGTGTGCAGTTGAGTTTGTTAATTGTTGTAACAAACTTAAACTAACCTCTAACAAACTTAATTGCCTTCTAATACTCCTCTCAAGATGAGCATGGATATTAACCATACTCATCTTGTCCAAAAGAAAGTGAAAACGTGATGGTTGTAAAGCTTGGGTGAAGAAATCAATAAGTTGAAACTCAAATGGCACATAGTAAGGCTTCATAATCCCAGCCAACACTTTTTCCCTAATGAAATGATAATCCATTTCAATATGTTTTGTTCTCTCATAGAAAGCTGGATTTTTGCTTATGTGAATGACAAATTGATTATCACATTTAAGCAAAATACTAGTTTCATGCTTGAACCTTAAGTCCGTCAATAATGACAAGTAACCGGAAAACTTCACAGCAAGTAGAGCCCATTGCTCCATATTCAGCCTCTGCAAAGCTTCGGCCACTAACGTTTGTTTCTTGGATATCCAACTTATGAGTGATCTCCTTAGGAAGATACGATAGCTTGTGACTAAATGTCTTGAATCCTTGCAACCTTGCCCATCCACTATCATTATAAGCTTAAAATTGAATGTTTAAAACAGAAGGCAAAAATAGACCTTGTCTAGGTACTCGTCTTTAAGTGCTTTAGCACTCTAAAAGTCGCTTACAAAAGAACTTCAGCTAGCTTATCCATAAATCTAAACAACACTTGAGTAGCATAGCATATATCAAGTCTTGTAAAGGTTAGATACAAGAGTTTCCCAATAAGTTGTTTGCAAACCATTGGTTTTTTAAGAAAATCGATCGTGCTTGTACAAGTTTATTGTTTGGAGCCATTGGAGTGGAAACTGGTTTAACCCTCAACATTCCATGTTCCGTTAGCAAATCAAGAATATACTTCCTTTGACATAAAGATATTTCCTTTGAAGACCTTATAACTTCAATGCCAAGAAAGAATTTCGATTGTCCCAAATCCTTCATTTTAAACCGAGAATACAAGTATTTTTTAAAGTCAAGCAATCGTTTCTACTAGATTACTTACAAATACTTTTCGTCAACATAAACCGAGTAGAGCAAGAAATATATCAAGAGATATGCTCTTGGTAAACAACGAATAGTCTACTTTAGACGGTGAAAACCTAAAAGCCAACGGAAGCGACGAATGAGTTTTTGATTCCATTATCTTAATGCCTGCTTCAATCCATACAAAGATTTGTGACATTTACAAACCAACCGAGTATGTGACTCCCCTGGACTCGATAACCTCGGTGGAAGGTCCATATACATTATCTCTTCTAAGTCCTTATTAAGAAAAGCATTGTTCACATCCATTTGTGATAAACATCAACCATGAGTTATTGTATAATCTAAAAGTAAATGAACAAAAGTCTCGTTTAACCATAGGACTAAAGGTCTCCTAAAAATCATAACCTTTTTGTTGACTATAATCCTTTGCCACCAATCGAGTTTTATACCTTTTTATAAAGCCATCAGCAAGAAGCTTGATCTTATAAACCCACTTACAACCAATTGTGTGTTGAACAAGAGGAAGAGGAATCACGAGTCTAAGTATGATTGAGTTCTAACGTAGTAAGTTTAGCTTTCATGACATCTTGCCGGTGAACAACTTGATCATATGTTAAAGATTCAATGATATGGGAAAGAGAAACAAACAAAAGAAGAGTGTGAATGAGATAGAAGAGAAGTTGAAATATATTTTTGAATTGGATGAGTCTGTAGAATAACAAGTTGATAGGATGGTAGATGGCAAATTTGTGTGATAGTTAGCTAAGTAACTAAAAAGTTTGCTAACTCAATCACTTTTCCTAATAGGAATGGGAGGAGTAGAAGAAGGAATGTCGACAGATATAGGATGAGGAGAATCGGTAAGGATTTGGTCCGTGTTTGGAACGAACAAGAAGAATCTGCTAAATGTTTATCTACGGATGCAACAAGCACAATTATTATTAACCGAATGTGAAACGAGTAGATGATGACTTAGGAAGTGCAAGTAGGAATAATAGAGAAATTTGTATGAGAAATGATTTCAAAAATAGAAATATGATTATCAAATACGGAAAAAGAGAAAACATTCTCGTCAAATGTAACATCTCTCGGACACAAAGAGAGTTTTAGATTATAAATCATAAAGCTTATATGCTTTCATTCCAATAGGATATCCAATGAATACACATTTTATGGCACAAGAATCAAACTTCTTCCCATTGTGAGACAAAGTGGAAGGAAAACACAAATAATCGAATACTCTCAAGTGAAGATAATCGAGCGATCGATGAAATAACATCTCGTAATGAGATTTGTTATTCAGAATAAGAGTTGGAATTCGATTTATTAAGTATATTGCGGTTAAAAATGTATCCCCTCGAAAAATAATTGGTAAACTAGATCAAAATAACAAAGCTTTAAGCAATGATCAATAAATGTTATTGTTTTCTCTCAACAACACCATTCCGTTGGGGTGTACTTATACATGAGAATTGATTTACTACACCTTTATTAGAAAAGAAATCGGTGAGGTTGAATTCCAAATCATTGTCGGATTGAATTTGTTTAATGAAAAAAACAAACCGATTTTAAACAAGACTGAAGAAATCGGGAATGATGGATATAACATTAGATTTGGACTTTAATAAGAATAAACATGTCATCCTAGTGAAATCATCTACTATGGTGAGAAAGTAGTGATATTTACCATGAGCTAGTTAAGAATAAGATCCCTATATATCAATATGAATAAACCGAAAAGGAACAAAAGTACTCGAAAGAATGAACAGGAAAGAGAATCCTTTTTGTGTTTAGCTATTGGACATATAACATAAGGATTTTTATTAAAACTTGAGTTACAATGTACATCAAAACATACTTGATGAATGATATTCATCTTATTTTGAGGTGCATGTCCTAATCTATAATACTAAGATCAAAGCAATCTTTGTCATGTAAAACAATATTTGTGTTAACAATAGAAACATTGGAAGACTTCGATTCATATTTATGAATACTAGAAGAAGATACCAGGAAGTTACTTGGATCTTTTAGTAAGTAAAGACCATTACAAACTTTAGCAAATTCAATCATTGTCCATGAAGGAACTGCCTGAATGAAAATAGAATGATCACAAAAATTAACGACAATTTGACCAAAAAGATTCGATCTATTGATATGAGATTGAATTTGAATGAAGGAATATAAAGAATATTATGTAATGTGGGTTTAGAAGAGAAATGTATTATGCTAGAATGTGTAGCAAAAATAGTAGAACCATCCGGCATCAATATCAAAACATGTGTAATTGATTGATAAGTACTCGAAAAAGTTAAACAACAAATAATATGATCTAAAGCACCAACATCAATAATCCAAGATTTTTCATTCGGAGAA